ATAAATTTATTTTAAAAAATCCTTGTCACCTAATTAAAAAAATTTTAAAAAATTAATAAGCAAATATCGTAAAAAAAGAAGAAGTGTTTTAACCCTCATGTTGGGGTTGAGAATCTAATGGCCTGTAGTCGTAAAGCATTATTTCCCAATAAGATCCTCCCAACGAGAAATCTAAAGGCACGCATGAAGGCTTCCGTCTGAGGAGTTCATTCTTTCCATGATCATGCAAGATTTGAGATCAAATTATAAAGGTTTCATCAAAATGAATCAGATGAACTAGCTAGGAGGAACGGCGAAACGGATCTTGAGCTAGTGGCAAAAGGTTTTAGGAATAATTAACTTGTTAGATAGAGTTTGGCTAGTGTTTGAAACCAAAAAAAAAAAACAGATACAATTGATGGGGAGGTAAAACAAAACTTAGATAAAAATATAATTATATTTGTTAATAAAATATAAAAAGTCTATTTTATTTTTAATCTAAGTTAATTTCAAACTTGCATATTTAAAATAATATATATGTAATTTAATTTATATTAAATATTGAAATTAATGATAATGCAATACTTACTTTTGACTTTACATATATGTTTTAGATAGTATTTAGAAATGTAGTTGTGATTATTTTTTAGAATGTTTTTTTTGTAATATATCAAAATAGTATTTTTTTTTATTTTTTTAAAATTATTTTTTATATAAGTACATTAAAATAATTAAAAAATATAAAAAATTAATTTTTTTTAAAAACAAAATGCAAATCGAAATAGCCTCGTAATTGAGGTTGAAAATTCAACTTGCTTGAGAATTAACGGTACTGAAATTGCAAGCAACACTAAATTTCACTACTTTTTAGCATTATCACAACCATCTACTAGGCTAGTTCTTTTTTTTTTTCTTTTTTTTTGAACATCATATTCATAAGTAATAAATGGGCATAACGTTAGTCTATCACAAGATAGATCCAAAAAAAAGTATCTCTAAGTTATTAAAAATACTGAACCTCAAGGAAACAGAACAATTCTGTCTTGAGCTTTTCACTTCTGAAACCAGGCTAGGTATTTTTGGACACTTGCTCTCTCTTCCTATCCTCTTTTCTACCTCTACCGAAAAGCAGAACTACCTGACAGAAGGGCATGGACATAAAATGGCAGAGACAAGAAGAATCGCCTTTCTTAAAAACTCGGAAAGAATAGATATAAAGCTAAATATATTTGATTTGACATATAAAGCTATACATAAAATGGTAAGCAATGTTGATAGGTGCCATGAGGCAAGACATGGATGAAGAAGTATAAGCAACACCGCATCAGGCTTCCGGTTTTGCAGCATATGGTAAAACCCAAGAAGCCGTAGAATATTCAACAAGTTTTCTCTGACGGCCAAACCCATTAGCTAATTCATTTGCACTCATCACAATCATGCATCAACTATCATATTAATCGTTATTCGACTTCTCTGAATTGTTACATTTAGCAATATTGTTCTTACGAGAGTTCAAGGTGGGGAGATGCGAGTCGGCTACTGGAACCGGTTCAACCTTTCTTGATCATTTACAGCACCTATTACTCAATGCATAAGGATGAACGAGCATAAAACATGAAAGAGAATTATTTGAGAAAAACTCGTAATATTAACAACCTTATTTTCTATCAAAACAGTCAGTTTTCATATCATCAATTTTTAATCCAACTTTCCAGAATGAAGAGTAACGTGTCTAGAAGTTACTGTTAAAATCTCAGCCCGATCCAACAGTGAACGAGCTGGAAATCAAAGAAAAAACACAAGCTGCTTTGCTGCCTCTTCTTCTTTTTCGATTTTCTTCTTTTCTCTTCTATTTTTAATTTTGACACTACAATACCCAAATTATATTAATTTGAATACCAAGAAATAAAAATTAATATAATGGTCCCACCATCAGCAGGATCCTACAGAATAAATCTTTCCCTCTCATACCATGAAAAAAGAATTCGTTATAGTGAGGATTAACATTTACAGCACCTATTACTCGATGCATAAGGATGAACATGAACAAGCATAAAATGACCAGCTGGATCTCTAATGCTTCAAAGCCATACACCAGACGAATACTGGCTTGCTTGGCAAAATGCTGAAGCATCCAGATTTATTCCTTTTAGTTTCTTTGTTTTCTCAGGACACAGTCCATAGGTCTACTTTGTTTAGTTTTGGATAATGGAAGAATTTCGTTTAAAACTGACAATTTATCTGGAACAACTTACATGGATTGGCCCAGATATTATATCAAGGAGGGTTTGAAGAGTTTCAGACAAGGAATCACGAACCCCAAAGGACTTTAACTGACAGATGTTTATTTTTCTCAGATGATTTTTTTGTTTCTTCCTAAAATGATTCTTTGATCGCACTTGATGCAAATTTGGATGAGCAAAACAAAGTGGTCCTCTCGCACTAGTAGAATTTAAGAAAACAAATACTAGCAGGGACAGTTGTTAAATTGCTAATAATTTATTCTAAAGAAAACCCTGATGCATTAACTCGCTTAATTGTTTTCATTAGAATTATAAACAATTACAATTACAATTATATAATGGAGGAACATCATGTTCAATACTCTGAGCAACATTTTTTCCCTTTATTTGATTCCTTAGCTTATTATATATCGGACGAAAAATGTAGAAATTTCGATCTAAAACAACTGACACCAACTCGAGTACAGAATATGGAAATGTATATAGATAAAACTAGATTATTTTTTTTTGCTATGTAACGCGGGTTGTATTAATGTTTTTAATATGAAAAAAATATTTAAGTATTGTTTTTAATATGAAAAAATATTCAAGCATTATTAATATATTTTTTTAAAATATTAATTATAATTGATTTGGTAAATTCAAATACAATTTGGATAACCGATAAAAATATAATTTATTTAAAAAAATTAAGATAATATTTTTTAAAAAAATATTAAAATAATAATATATTAGATCAACTTGAATAAACTTATCAAATTTGTTATCCAGATCATTATAAAACTCAAATTTCAATCAACCGAATGTTAAAGGAAGTAATTGAGATAAAATTCAATTAAAAATATGAGCGCAGTCAACCCAGTTTAAACTGTCAAATATGGGTTAAGAGACTGGGAGAACTCATAGAAAATAAATTAAAATAAATTATAAAGTTCAATTCTCAATTAATCCAATTTTAAAGGGTAAAATTTTAAAAATTAATTAAAAAAAATATAAAAAACCACCCGAATCAACCACCAAACCTGTGAACAAGGCTATAAGAACTAAATAATCACATATAACATAAAATTAAATTAATTATAAAGTCTAATTTTCAATAAACATAATATTAAAGGATAAAATTAAAAAAATAATAATTAAAAAAGATTAAAAAAAACCCGAAGTTAACCGACTTAACTCGTGACTCAGATTATAATATCATGTTAATCCCATAAAAAAATAAAAATCAAAAAATTAAAATTTCAATTAATCAAATATTGAAGAATTACTAAGGTTAGCTCAGGTTAATAATCCGAGATAACTCCATTTAAAATAAATAAAAAATTATAATTTAATTATTAATCAATCTAATATTAGCATAAAATATTTATTCAATAAAAAAATAAAAAAAAATATGTAAGATAACATGACTAATCAGCAAAACTTGTAAATTGAGTCATGAAACTATGATAATTTCATATAAAATAAATTATAAAATAATTATAAAATTTAATTTTCAATCAACTTAATATTAAAAAAAATTAATTAAAAAAATAACATAAGTTAATATATTTAACCTGCAAAACTTGCCATCTAAATCATGAATTTTTATTGCTCCAATGAAAACCAAACAATTTTTATTGCTCCAATGGATCATGAGTTCTTCGCTGAATTTTTATTGCTCCAACGGAAAACCAAACAATTTGAAGATCTGTTTTTTGGTAGAAACTCCTAGAAAATGTTAGTAATGCCGAGGGTGATGAATTTTGAGCGAGGGAGGGAGAAAGAAACAAATAAGGTGGATGGGATGCCTAGCATGCAACCAAACCAGAATTTTATCTTCAACAACTAGAAAGAAAGAAAGAACGAATCAACTTCGATTCTTCACGATTCCACAAAAATCAATCTTCAAAAGCAAGAGCAGCAGTCCAACCACTTCATATATTCCCATTTTCAATGTGTTAGTGGAGGAGGGAGGGGCCTCATAAGTGAAACGGCAAATCACTAAAAATTACGTACACCGTAAATAATGCTTGACCGACAAAACGACACCGTCACCATTCGGAGCCTCTTCCACGCCGCATTTTGCGTCCAAGGCACGGGAGAGGACTCGAGTGCTAAGAATTTTCTTGCCAGGGTGTGGCTGACTCATGATCATGGTTGGCCCCAGAGAGACATGCTCCAATGCTTGTTCGTGGGTTTATTATTTCTAGCATTGTTTTTCAACTTCTCTGACCGCTTATCCTTCGAAGTCATTAACAAGAGAGAGGGAGTTAGTGTAGAGACCACATTTGATTCATAATCTCGAGAGATGTAAAGTATAAAACTAGTTGGTGCTGAACTCGGCAATTTGGGGAGCCATCAGCATCGGCAACCTGCCACAATGATCAGATCAACATGCGCTCGACAAAAACAATTCGAATCTTGGACATTGGTGATGTTTCGTGATAATTTTTCACTGTGCCCAGATTGGCTTAAATAAATGCTGTACAAAATAAACATGGAGGCGTTAAAGTGAAAACACGGTGCTTGAGCATGGAAATTGAAGAGGAAACTTCTCTTCCAGCCTTTAAAATGACACCTTTTATTTTAGTGTCTCCCCTCTCCGTAAAGCAAAGCAGGTGGTCCGTGATTCTTCTGGATCAACATTCCAATCAATGCATAAAATCCAAGACTTGGACATTATTAAATTAAAAAAAAGGGATACTCAGTTGGCGATAGGTTTTACTCTCCGATATAACCATACAATTTCCATAGAATTCAAGTACTCTCTCTCTCTCTCTCTCTAAACAATAAAGATATCAAAAGAACCTCTTAGAACTACAACAAAAAATAACAGCAGCGATAATAATAATAATAATAATAATAGTAACAAACAACTGCTTCTTACATCTGCATAAACAACCAATGGAATAGCTACCATAGCAAGACATCCTTGAATCAGAAGCAAAGGAACCAGAAGCATTCACCTTGTCTGTACACTGAAGCAGTCACGTCACTAGCATCTTCATAAAAAACCAGGAGCAAAAAGTTCCCGTTTGGAGATCCGACTGACTAACTTGCAGAAATTCATGAATTACCACGGCCCAAACCCACCTGCCTCTTCCTCAACAGAAACAGGAAGATTAAGATCAATTAGCCCACGCATCGATATCTCAGGCGCATCTTGCTTAATTAGCACAGTTCTATCCCTGGCCGCCCCAGCAAAGTGGGACCTCTTATGGCCGCCCAAAGCTTGACCTGATCGGAAAACCTTGGGACAGAAAGGACATTCGTGTAGTTTTCCTTTTTTCAACCCCAAATTTTTCTCTGCATTGCCAGAAGAATTCTGCTCAATTGGAGTTTTTCCACTTCTAGATTGAATCATCCTACTACTATTAGGAATTGGATTGGGCACATAGTCAGTATCTACACTGTTCTCGCCGCTCTCATATATTGAATCACTGCAGCCATTAGTCTTGTTATGGCTGGCTCTGCGTCCCCCAAGAGGAACACATTTGCCCCTCCTGCTGCTAAGAAATTCATATGACTCATTCTTGCATCTCTTTTGTGAATCCATCGAAGCCCCGTCAGCTTGATCATATAAATCTTCCTCAATGAAATCCTTCCCTAGTCGAGTTCTAACACGCCTAAACCTGCTTATTCTTTTCCCTGATTCAGCATCAATATCATCGTCAAAACTAGAACCAAATTCCACTTCATACTTCTTGATTCCATCATTCCTAGCGAACCCATGAACAGAAACATCTGATTCAACCTTCTTGGGACCATTCCTAAAATATCCGGAATCAGAATTCTCAGACTGATCATTTTCAGTAGAAATTAACCCCCTCTGCATTGATTTCTTCATCTCCAACGACTCGATACCGCTAGACACAAAATCAACAGCGTTATTTACGTTAATCCTCGTCTTCGTAGATGATGATTTACCCTCTAAAACCACAGAATTGTTATCCGAAGAATCTGCAAGAGAACTAAAACAACCTTTGAAGCCAGAGTCCTTGGACAACATCATCAAACACTTAGCCACCTCCTCTTGCTCTTGCTCTATGTCAGATGCAGAGGATAAAGAAGCAGCATTTGCCAAGGATAATGAAGTAGTGTAAACATCAATAGTCTTGTACCTCATTCGTTTGGATCTCCTTGGCTTACTTGGATCAGTTGCCTCACTATCTGACTGGTTGTCCGAAACTATTTCTTTCAACTTCTCAGTAGTCCCCGACTGGTCTTGAAAGTAGTTCTTAGAATGACAAGCCATGTGACCACACAGTGCTTTCAGTGATTGAAACCCTTTACCACATTCTTTACAAACCTTTTCTGGCAGTGAAGTAGTATTGCTTGAATCCCCCACAAACCTGCTCGTTTTCTTGGGATTGTCTCTGAGAACATAACCAGGCTGACCAACAGCTTCAGACACAGAGATTTGCTTGCTGTTGCTTTCGGTCTTGCTTACCTGAACCTTAGCTTCTTCATCAGTTGAAGAAGTTCCATTAGCATTCAAATGGATCCTAATATGACCACCCAAAGACTTGCCACAGGGATATCTTTTGTTGCAAAACTTGCAAACAAAGTTGTTCTTTTGATTTGCTTCCATGGATTGATCTAATCAAATTAACACACCAAGAATAACAAAATCAATGTTACCTCAATCTTCAAAAAACGAGCTGCATTTAACCAAAGAAAGGCGCCCATCCGGTGAATGAAGAGAACAGGACAGGGTCAAATCCAGATCAAATAGCAGGTAAAACAGATCACGAAATTTGCTGCTTTGGTACCGTTGATTGATCAAGGGAATAAAAAGGAGTGGAGAGATGTGACAGTTTGTTAAAGTGCAAAGATCAGACCCACCTAAAGAAAAGGCCATCCAAATCCCATTTCTCAAGTACACACATTAGAGCCTCTATAAGGAATTTAATAGGGGTGTTTTACTGCGAAACGAAAATCAGAGCTATTTTTAAGAAGAAAAGGAAGAAATATGGGTACAAAATGATGGGCGATGAACAGGCTTTCTCTATGTGAAAGAACAATCAAAGCACAACACAACCATGACTCTTTCTCTTTTCTCTCTCCAAAGTATCTCTTATTTGTTTTAGTGTTGAAGTTGGAGGAGAATTCCATGCATGGAAGCAAAATATTGAAAAGGGAAAAAAAGATAGGCAGCAGGTGCACTCAATTGAGAGCCATTCGGTGTGGGATTTGGACGGTCAAGATCAACTGGGACTTTTGGGGATCCCTAGGAATGAGGATTTTAGTAGATACTACATTAACAACCAGCAACTCTCTGACTGCACAGCCACAGAAGCATCCAAACTCTCAATATGCCTTACCGTGTCTTTGCTTATACAAGTGAAGGGTCAGAATCTTCAACCAATTGCTCCTCCCTATCTCTTTTGCACCTTTCGTCCTCGTAATGCTATTTGCTATAGTTGTTTTGTTCGTATGAAAATTGTTCAAACCCCCTTTTTTTTCAATTTAATTTTAGTCTTATGCTTATATCGTAGAGCTCCTCCCTTCAAGATTAATGTAGCACTACTTATCTGTTGCATCATCAAGTCATAACTGGACCCATTAACCCAACCACTACTTTCCAATACCATTTATGCTTGCAATATCCCTCTTCCTAAGGAAATATATATATTGGTGATAAGTAGAATATTGAGTTTTCATATCTGTTATATCTACAACACCCAATTGGAAACAGCTCAAGAATTAAAGGGCCAGTATTACTATTTATGACTCCATCTATTTTATTTGGCAATTACATTTTCAACCTCAAGACTTCACAGTTCACTCTCCCTATAATTCTAACTACACAGATTTTAATTTAAAAGAAGAAGAAGAAATTCCCGTGACTTCTTCAAGAATTAGCCTTGCGTCGTGCAAGAGACCTTAGGGCCTGCCTTCCATGGGAATTTTCAATTCTTTGGTCAGGCTGGGGGGGTTCCTTCAAGCGTTTGCAGAGGCAACGCCTTATATAACCTGGTCTAACTAGATCCCATCATCTCAAAAGACACCTCTTTCAACTCATTTAGGTGGTGGCCAAGTGATAAAAACTTGGGATCAAGAGATTTGCTCTCTCTATGGTCTCAAGTTCAAGTCCTTGATTGCTCATATGATGGTCATTGGAGGTTTACATGGTCGTTAATTTCAGGACCCGTGAGATTAGTCGTGGTACGCACAAGCTGGCCCGGACACCCACGTTAATCTAAAAAAAAAAAACACCTCTTTCAAGTCACATAATATTTTCGTAGAATTTTATGATTTATGTCATTTTCCTGCCCAACAAAATAGAGAAGTTACTTGATAATTATCGGGATGGCTGCTTTGAAGTTTGATCGAGTCAAACCGTCTTTGCAGTGATCTGCTTGTCTAATGCCCGAAGATCATTCTTTATTTTCTTTGTTAGCTCTTTTCCTTGCTTCCCTTTCGATGCAATGCGATGCCACTTCCCCAGTTGGTCCCATCTCTTTCGGGCGTTTAAATTGACCTGCTAGTTTCCTTTGTTTTAGTCAAATTAACATAAATTGGCCAGGAGATTATTTTAGGAAACGAATTTTAGCAGGTCGGGATATTGATGTTGATGACTTCTATCCACCAACTACATGTGTTAAAAAGCGAATTTACACAGTAATTTCTCAAGATGGCACCGCGGTCATAGATTGACAAAAAAAAAAAAAAAAGTATTTTATCTTTTGAACCAAAGAAAACAAGTAAAGAAGAAGGGTCCCTCGAGTTTAATTGCAGGCAACGTGATGCCAACAATTGCACAGGGATTGAATTTGCTTTTCTGAAATAGTTGTTACTAGCAATTTCCCATGTGTTTTGCCGCGGATCATACACCTTTTAATCTCTAAAAAATAAATATATAAGCTTTTTTAATATATTTTTGGATATAAAAAAATCCACAACCATAAATAGAAAAGTCTATATATGTATTTGATTAATTAAATTAATATTTAATAAATAAATAATTGATATTAAAATATTTAATCTTGCAGCACAAATTATATACTAAGTTATATTTAATAATTTTATTTTTTAGTATAAATTTTTTATTTAATCAAATGCTTATGTGTGCCAATAAAAAATAAAAAAAAGTCGTTAATGAAAGCGAAATGAATAAAACTATGAAACTTAATTATAAAGCACCTCAATATTGAAGGATGAAAAATATAAAAATTAGTCTAATATTAAATAATAAAATTTAAAAAATTATCAATTTATAAAATTTTCCGAGATAAATTCAACAAAGAAAGATAGAAAAAAATGACATAACCTGAACCATTTTGAAAATTATTGAAAATTCTATAGAAAGGAAATAAATAAAAAACAATGAAACTCAATCTCTAATTAAATAAATATTGAAATTTAAAAATAAAAAAAAATATGAGTTTAAAAAAAGAAAAGAAAATCAAGACAACCCAGACAACCTTCTAAATCTGTAACTCATGAAATCCTATATCCGAGTGCAATCTTAAATAAATTTAATATTAAAGAATAAAATTATAAAAAAATTAATTTAAAATAATTGTGAAAGTGAAAAAATAGCAAAAAAAAATAAAGATTAAATTTAATAGATAAAAAAAAGCATATGGGGAAAGAAATTAAAAAAAATCAATTTAAAAAATTATCTCAAACAAAATAAATAGTATTCAAAAGAATGGAAACCAAAATTTTAAAGATTAAAAAAAATTAAAAAAGATGGAATTAAAAAAGAATTTATATTTTATAAATTACTCCAAATAAAATAAATAATAATAAAAATATAAACCAAATTTTAAAAAATTAGAAACTAAATGAGTGCTTTGAAATTTTAAAACAGCAATATAAAAATTGGTAAGAAGATAAAAAAAGAAGGTGGAAGAGAAAAAATTATTGGTATCGTACCATATATTTGTTAACCACACACAATACCTTTCCAAGTAAAGAGCATAAGGATGATTCAAATAGCAATATGAAAGATGATGTTGGTCGTCAGCTGACACATTGATAATTTTTTTAATAATATTAAGTTTGTAAAATTATTAAAAAAAGCACCTCCCTCCATCTAATCACAACAAAAACCTTGAATGAACAAGATTTAAAAAAAAAAAAAAACAATAGCTTAAGTTAAAATCCCACACAAGGTAATCCTTACGAAAAGACATAATACTTTCAATAATAAGATACATGATTTGGTTTGAGAATGGCAATTTTTTTTTAAAAAAAATATAACACTGTGGATATAGGTGGACATTCCCATTGATTTTCTCACACGATTTTAGAGTTTTTTTTAATTAATATTCAAGCTCACACAAGGTAACTCCAGTCCCCCCCGGCCCCCTAAATGCAAATTATTTTTTTGCACTGTTCATTCCAAAAAAAAGAAGAAAACACACCATAAATAAATAAATTAGTGTCTTATAGTTGGCTAAGGTATGACAAATTAAAAACTAGAAAATTTTCGAATTATCAAATCATAGCAATTTGATGGATGCCAAGTTAAGTTGTTGTCAGTTGTCACCAACTTTGGAAAACTGCCCAACTCTTTTGTTTTTTAGCCTGCTTTGGTGATCTCCTTGGCATCATCGGTTTAAAATAACGTCTGGACCCCTCCCTCCCTCTCGCCCTAATAGCTCAAGACATGTATTCTCCTCGGAGCACATTTGACCACCGAAGAAGACGTCACATGAAACTGGCAAACTACTCTCTGGTACCTGATTAAACTATGGTTGATGCATTTCATTACCGGATAACGATGAAGGTGTGAGATCCAGGTTAACAATAACAGAGGCTGAATTTCACACGACGTGCTGAATCATTTTAGTACATTGCTATATTTTATTTTTTAACATTGCTATATTGTAGGACGGGTTATTTTTTTAAAAAATAAAAAATATTTAAATGATGATAAATTAAATAAATTTAGATTAACTTGATTAACCTATAATTGGGAATAATCTTGGAGAAGAAAAAGAGAAAGAGAAAATAGCAAGGCTTAATAGCCTAAAGTTAAAAAGTAAAATTAAAAAAATTAAAAAATTAAAATTAAATTAAGCTAATTTTTGAAACTAATAACTTTGATTATGAGATCAAGATAATTATATCGAAAACCATAAAAAAATCTTGAAAAAAATTCTTAATCATAAAAAAATAAATAACAATTAAAATAACAAGGAAAAATCTAGTATAAAAACTAATGAAAAAATAATGAGGGACTTAATTGGAAAATAACATAAAAAAGGATAAAAAAAAGAGCACTTAAAATAATGATAACCAAATTTGGATAAAAAAATAAAATAAAATGCCGATGATAAAAAAATAAGTAATTGAAAAAAAAAAACTAAATTTGAAAAAAAATAAGAAAACCAAGAAATGATAAAAAAAAAAATCAAGAGAACGAGTAATATTTAATATAAAAAAATCAAATAGAAAATGATGGAACTAAAAAAAATTTAAAGAAAATAAAAAAAAGGATCATAATTGAATTTTTTTATCAAAATAATACCATTTTTACTTTTAAGCTAAATAAAAATTCAAACAATTAGTTAAGGGAAAATCATGTAAACAACTGTTAATTTTTATTATTATTTTTTATCAAAATAATATTATTTTTACTTTTTGCACAATAAAAAATTCAATTGACCCTAGTAATCCTAATTATTCAACTCAACTTATGACCCGGGACATGATGAGGGTTGACTCTCAGATCCGGATTTAAAATCATGATAAAAAAATAAGTATCAAATATGATATGAAATTAAACAATGAGAGATGAAATTGCCACAAAACAATTAATCAAGAAGAAAACTCAAAATAAAAGGAACTGCAATCATAAGAAGAATCAAATTTAACAAAAAAAATTAAAATCAAATTATTAGGAATTAAATCAAAAAATAAAATCCAATCATAAAAAGATTAAAAGAAAAATAAATAGGAATCAAAAGAATAAAAATCAAATTTGATAAAAAAAAACATTAAAAAATAAAATTTCAAGAGATAAAATTAAAAAATAAATAAATAAAATTTAATACAATTAAAAAAATGAAGATCACTTTGTAATTTTATAAGGTCAACACACCTTTTGAGGTGGAAAAGAGAGAAAAATGGGAGGACAAAAAAAATTATCATTGGAGCTCTTCTATATCATGAATGTAGACACCCACATTGTGTAAAGGATGGCGTATTAATTTGAACACTTAAAAATAGAAAATATTTAAATGATGATAAATTAGATAAATTTAAATTAACTTAATTAACCCATAATTGAGAATAATCTTGGAGAAGGAAAAGAGAAAGAGAAAATAGCAAGGCTTAATAGCCTA